ACCGCGGTGCGCACGTTTTTACGGCTAAAGGCTAATAGTGATAGTTTACTAGCTAGGAGTTATGGGTCGGTCGCGATCGAAGCAACGGGAGCCTGCTTCTTATTGGGAGCCGTGTTTTCTCTTTTTCTCACTTTTTCTCTTCATGCCGCATGTAGACCCGTAGTTTGACAGCAGCAGCGGCTGAAAACGAAATCTGCATGTGCAGAGGATTAAAAAAAGTGTATATTTGGCTGCAGTTCAGCATAAAATGAATAAACCAGGACTAATCTTGGGCTCGAGTGCAGGAGAGAGATAGAGACCGAGTCCCGACACTCAGTCCTGGTTCAGTCTGGTTTAGTCCTGCTTGCAACAAAACAATCTCAAGAGTCGCTTGGGAGCCGAAAGAGCCAGCTGCTTTAGTGAGCCGAGCCAAAAGAGCCGGTTCTCCAAAAAAAAAAAAAAAAAACTGGAATCCCCATCACTAGCAGTGACAGTAACAGTAGCTAGAATGTGATGCAAAAATGCCATTAGGCCAATCTACTGTCTGTAAATATGATGTAAAGAGTCAAAATAACAATAAATGTTTCCTAAATAAACCCAGTTTAGAATCCACGAGAGCCAAACCTAAGTTTTTTAATCAATTCAAGATTTACAGTGAATTTTTACATCACTAAATATATCGGCGATTATATCGGCAGCTCCAACTCCCATTATATCGGTTTCATATCGGTCGGGCTCTAATCGAGAGTTTCACCTTTCGACTCAGCTCCTCTTCACCACAACGGTCCGATACAGCGACCGCATCACTGCAGACGCTGCACCTGTCCACCTGTCAATTTCACGCTCCGTCCTCCCCTCACTCGAGAACAAGACCCCGAGATACTTGAACTCCTCCACTTGAGGCAGAGACTCTCCACCCGCTCGGAGACGACAAGACGCCATTTTTCCAGTCGAGAACCACAACCTCGGACTTGGAAGAGCTGATTCTCATCCCAGCAGCTTCACACTCGACTGCAAACCGCCCCAGAGCTGCAGGTCCTGGTCTGATGAAGACAACAGGACAACATCATCTGTGAACAGCAGAGATGATCCTGTGGTCCTCAAACCGGACTCTCCGGCCCCTGACTGACCTTTATCAATAATATTTTTAATTTGGTTCAGTAAAGTCTGAGCTTTTTATTTTCTTTTAGCAGAAAAAACATCTTATGTGAAGATTTCCTTGTCTTTGTTTCTCTACAGCAAATCAAGTAATCCAAAGTATTCAGATTACATTACTCACTTTAAGTAATTTACTGGATTCTGTTACAAACTACATGTTGGGGAGTGGAGTCTGGCAGTGGTGCAGGGAAACTAAAGACGGGTTTTGGGAGAATATTTGATTGATGCTTAAACCTCGTCTGCTCCTGTTCAGGTGGAAGAGATGACAGGTGCGGCCGTTACCGTGGAGACGACAGGTGCGGCCGTTACCGTGGAGTCGACAGGTGGACGGGAGCGGAGGCACACCTGTTCAACCTGCGGCAGGAGCTTTTACCAAAAGAGCCACTTAAAAAAACACCAAGTGACTCACAGTGACCAAAAACCCTTCACCTGCGACAAGTGCCACAAAAAGTACTCCTCTAAAGAGAGCTACAGGGCCCACCAGGTACCAGGACCAGGACCCGGACCAGGACCGAGACCAGGACCAGGACCGAACCAGGACCAGAACCAGGACCGAGACCCGGACCAGAACCAGGACCAGAACCAGGACCGAGACCGAGACCCAGACCAGGACCGAACCAGGACCGAGACCAGGACCGAGACCCGGACCAGGACCGAAACCAGGAACCAGGACCGAGACCGGACCAGGACCGAACCAGAACCAGGACCGAGACCCGGACCAGGACCGAACCAGGACCAGAACCAGGACCGAGACCCGGACCAGAACCAGGACCAGAACCAGGACCGAGACCGAGACCGAGACCAGGACCGAACCAGGACCAGGACCGAGACCAGGACCGAGACCCGGACCAGGATCGAACCAGGTACCAGGACCAGGACCCGGACCAGGACCGAGACCCCGAGACCAGGACCGACCGACCAGGACCGAGACCAGGACCGAGACCAGGACCGAGAGACCAGGACCGAGACCAGGACCAGGACCGAGACCCGGACCAGGACCGAACCAGGTACCAGGACCAGGACCGAACCAGGACCGAGACCAGGACCGAGACCAGGACCAGGACCAGGACCAGGACCAGGACCAGGACCGACCAGACCAGGACCGAGACCAGGACCGAGACCCGGACCAGGACCGAACCAGGACCAGGACCAGACCAGGACCGAGACCAGGACCAGACCAGGACCAGGACCGAGACCAGGACCAGGACCAGGACCAGGGGACCGAGACCCAGGACCAGGACCGAGACCCGGACCAGGACCGAACCAGGTACCAGGACCCGGACCAGGACCAGGACCGGGACCAGGACCAGGACCAGGACCAGGACCAGACCGGACCAGGACCAGGACCAGGACCAGACCCCAGGACCAGGACCGAGACCAGGACCAGGACCAGGACCAGGACCAGGACCGAGACCCGGACCAGGACCAGGACCGGACCAGGACCAGGACCAGAGGACCAGGACCAGGACCGGACCAGACCCGGACCAGGACCGAGACCCGGACCAGGACCGACCAGGACCAGGACCAGGACCAGGACCGGACCAGGACCGAGACCCGGACCAGGACCAGCCCGGACCGACCCGGACCAGGACCGAGACCAGGAGACCGACCAGGACCGAGACCAGGACCGAGACCCGAACCAGGACCAGGACCGAGACGGACCAGGACCAGGACCGAGACCCGGACCAGGACCGAGACCAGGACCAGGACCGAGACCCAGACCAGGACCGAGACCAGGACCAGGACCGAGACCGGACCAGGACCGAGACCAGGACCAGGACCGAACCAGGACCGAGGACCCGGACCAGGACCAGACCAGACCGAGACCAGGACCGAGGACCAGACCAGACCGAACCAGGACCGGAGACCAGGACCGAGACCCGGACCAGACCCGGACCAGGACCGACCAGGACCAGGACCGAGACCCAGGACCGAGACCCGGAACCAGGACCAGAACCAGGACCGAACCAGGACGACCAGGAACCAGGACCCAGGACCAGGACCCGACCAGGACCGAGACCCGGACCAGGACCGGACCAGGACCAGGACCGAGGACCCGGACCAGACCAGAACCAGGACCGAACCAGGACCAGGACCGAGACCCGGACCAGAACCAGGACCAGGACCGAGACCCGGACCAGGACCGACCCCGGACCAGGACCAGAACCAGGACCGAGACCCGGACCAGGACCGGAACCAGGACCAGGACCGAGACCCGGACCAGGACCGAGACCGGACCAGACCAGTACCAGGACCAGGACCAGGAACCAGGACCCGGACCCGGACCAGACCCAGGACCAGGACCGAGACCCGGACCAGGAGGAACCGACCAGGACCAGGAACCAGGACCAGGAACCAGGACCGAACCAGGACCAGGACCGACCAGGACCCGAGACCCGGACCAGGAACCAGAACCAGGACCGGAGACCAGGGGACCAGGGAGACCCGGACCAGGACCGAGAACCCGGACCAGGACCGAACCAGGACCAGGACCGAGACCAGGACCAGGACCAGGAGACCCGGACCAGGACCGAGACGGACCGGACCAGGGGACCAGGACCAGGACCCCGGACCAGGACCGAGACCCGGACCAGGACCGAGGACCAGGACCGAGACCAGGACCAGGAGACCAGGACCAGGACCGAGACAGGACCGAGACCCGGACCAGGACCGAACCAGGTACCAGGACCAGGACCCGGACCAGGACCGAGACCCGGACCAGGACCGAGGACCGAACCCAGGTACCCCAGGACCAGGACCGGACCAGGACCAGGACCGAGACCAGGACCGAGACCAGAGACCAGGACCAGGACCAGACCAGGACCAGGACCCCAGACCAGGACCGAGACCAGACCAGGACCAGGACCAGGACCAGGACCAGGACCAGGACCAGGACCAGGACCAGGACCGAGACCCCGGACCAGGACCAGGACCAGGACCGAGACCCAGACCAGGACCGAGACCAGGACCAGGACCGAGACCCGGACCAGGACCGAACCAGGACCAGGACCAGGACCCGGACCAGGACCGGACCCCGGACCAGGACCGAACCAGGACCAGGACCAGACAGGACCAGGACCGAACCAGGACCGAGACCCCAGGACCGAACCAGGACCAGGACCAGGACCAGGACCGACCAGACCGGACCAGGACCAGGACCGAGGACCCGGACCAGGACCGACCAGGACCGAACCAGGACCGAGACCCGGACCAGGACCGACCAGGACCAGGACCACCGGAACCAGACCGACCAGGACCGAGACCCGGACCAGGACCAGGGAACCAGGACCGAGGACCAGACCAGACCAGGACCAGGACCAGGACCAGGGACCAGGACCAGACCAGACCGACCACCGACCAGGACCAGGACCAGGACCCCAGGACCAGGACCAGAACCAGGAACCAGGACCAGACCAGGACCAGGACCAGGACCGAGACCCCAGGACCGACCGACCGAACCAGGACCAGACCAGACCGGACCAGGACCAGGACCGAGGACCAGGACCGGACCAGACCGACCAGGCCAGACCAGGACCAGAACCAGGACCAGGACCAGGACCGGACCCGGACCGGACCAGGGACCGGACCAGGGACCGGACCAGGACCAGGGCCGAGACCCAGACCAGGGACCGGGACCGGACCAGGACCAGGACCAGGACCGAGACCCGGACCAGAACCAGGACCGAACCAGGACCAGACCAGGGACCGGGACTGGACCAGGGACCGAACCAGGACCAGAACCAGGACCAGACCAGGTTCCAGACAGAGTACTAGACCAGGTACTAGACCAGGTACTAGACCAGAACTAAACCAGAACTAAACCAGGACTAAACCAGGTACTAGACCAGAACTAAACCAGGGGCGGCGATCCGTATTCTGACACTGAAGAACCAGGACTACTGCAGGATAGTGATTGGCATTCGATGGAATTTTCGATCGTCGGGAGAATTAACGATCGATTATCGATTAATCATTAACGTTTTTATATTAAAATGATCATCATTATTATTACTATCCGCACTAATCTGCATCAATAAATTCAACTTTACGACATATAAACATAACGACTCTAGATCCACATCAGCTGTTTGACATTATAATGTGTTTAATTCAGTTTTGTTCAAATCTCACAGAAACAAAACTTAAAACCACATCACTAATTTACATAAACTAAGTGAAGATAAAACTCCAGCTCTTGTGTCGCTGATGTGGTTCAACTTGTGTTGGATTAAAAGACATGACTCAGGTGAATACAGGTCAGTGTGACCAGATTTGTGTTTGTCAAAACCAGGACAGCGTACGGGGGGAGGGGGGCGGGGCCTCGTCATCCACATTGAGCGACTCTCACCTGGAAAAACTTTTCCCCACTGGACACAGAAACATATGTGCTGCTTTTATCCACTGTGCACATGGACTCACACTTGTCCCAACGCAACGGAAAGTGTGGAATTTCTTCTACAAATCCTGGTTAAATCCACATTTGTGCTTCGGTTCGTTACAGACTGACCCACTGTTTGTGTCTCGCTCCTTCTGATGCAGAGACACATGTACACACCTGTTTGGTCACGACACACAAACATACATCTGGTTTGTTGATTAAAATTAACGTAATCGATGAAATTCTTAATGATCAATTATCGATTAATCGACTAATCATGCCCATCCCTAATAGGGACTAAACCAGGACTGAACTAAACCTATGCGACCACCTCTCGTGCCGTTAGAGGGCGCAGAGTTTACGCACGCCGCTCTGTTGGCACGAGCGGGGCCGCGTACGCCCGACCTCCCGCGGTGAGAGCGCGTGGAGCTGCCAGGTTAACGAGTGCGTAAAAGTCCACATCACACAGCACGAGGAGAAGCGACTCTGCAGCCACATCTTTATAAACTGTTATGAGTTTATAATGGACCCACGCATTTCAAATTCCAATCCTTAGATTGGAATTTAAGATAAACACATTCTAAATATAATTTCAACCCCAAACATGCGTTCTGCGTTCAAATACAAACGCCACAACACAAACGCAAAAGCCACAACACATTAAAAAGCCACAACACATTAAAAAGCCACAACGGAAGTGACCGTGGGACTCTATTTTCCAACGGACCGATCAAGCGGCAAGTGAAGAAGAAGAACGACAACATGAAAAGTAAAGGAACGGAGAAGTTGGAAACGTAAGTAAAAGTAAGTTAATGTTTTATCATTATTTGTTACACGTTGTAGTTCTTCTTCTTCACTTGCCGCTTGATCGGTCCGTTGGAAAATAGAGTCCCACGGTCACTTCCGTTGTGGCTTTTTAATGTGTTGTGGCTTTTTAATGTGTTGTGGCTTTTGCGTTTGTGTTGTGGCGTTTGTATTTGAATGCAGAACGCATGTTTGGGGTTGAAATTATATTTAGTTGCGGCGTTTGCGTCTGTTGCGGCGTTTGCGTCTGTTTGCGGCGTTGCGCGTTTTGCGGCGTGCGGCGCTGTTGCGGCGTTTGCGTCTGTTGCGGCGTTTGCGCGTTCGTTTGTCTGTTGCGGCGTTTGCGTCTGTTGCGTTTGCGTCGTTGCGGCGTTTGCGTCTGTTGCGGCGTTTGCGTCTGTTGCGGCTGTTGCGGCGTTTGCGTCTGTTGCGGCGTTTGCGTCTGTTGCGGCGTTTGCGTCTGTTGCGGCGTTTGCGTCGTTGCGGCGGCGTCTGTTGCGGCGTTTGCGTCTGTTGCGGCGTTTGCTTCTGTTGCGGCGTTTGCTTCTGTTGCGGCGTTTGCGTCTGTTGCGGCGTTTGCGTCTGTTGCGGCGTTTGCGTCTGTTGCGGCGTTTGCGTCTGTTGCGGCGTTTGCGTCTGTTGCGGCGTTTGCGTTTGTTTTGACAATCTCGGCTTCCAGACCACGACTAAACTATGACTGAATCAGGGCTAAATCAGAACTCGAGCGTTCATGATTCTGTTTACGAGTTTTTTTAGCAGCGCAGATCCTCTCACCTGTTGGAGCTCAGGTCAGTCAGGTCCTTCTGGTCAGATTGTGTTCAAAGATTAAAGTGTAACTTGAGCGTCAGACAGAGCGGTGCCTCGAGTTAGCGGCACGCCCCGGAGAATGTGGCTGCATATACTGACGAGCTGATGTTGTTGCGCAGTTGCTCCACCAGGGGGAGCGGCCCTTCCCCTGCCCTCTCTGTCCCAAGGCCTACGGTCTGAGGCGGGACCTAAAGGACCACCTGGTGCTGCACTCGGGGCTCACGCCGCACCTGTGCCCGCACTGTGGGCGGGGCTTCACACGCCGACCGTCACTACGGGCGCACCAACTCAACCACTGCCCCAAACGCCCCACGCCACCACGGACCAAGGTACTGGACCAGGACTAGACCAAGGTACTGGACCAGGACTGGACCAGGACTGGACCAAGGGACTGGACCAGGACCAGGTCTGGACTCGGGGCCTCATTTATAAATCTCACTTACGCGTCGGCGCTCTCTACACCAACCGTGGGATTTATGAACCTCGTCTTAATCGTGGCGCTTTGTTTAACTCCATGTCAACTCAGGACTCCTGTAAACTCTACACGAAGTCTGGAGACACTCGTGGAGCAGAAGTGAAGACAGTTTGAGGAAAAGTTTGTTCAGGAACTTAACAGAAAATCCACGTATATAAAAGAATGACCTTCAGATTTGTGCATTTAAGTGTTTGGTTCACAAAACACGGAGCAGAGCTGTTTATTCCACCAATTATTCTCCACAATATTAAACATTTAAACTCGTGCAAGAGCGCGGCCACGTTCCCCGTACAGTCCACAGACTGACCACAGACTTGGATAAAACACAGACTGACCACAGACTTGGATAAAACACAGACTGACCACAGACTTGGATAAAACACAGACTGACCACAGACTTGGATAAAACACAGACTGACCACAGACTTGGATAAAACACAGAAGACAAAATAATGACTGGACCTGAGAGAAAAACTCTTCTGTTGGACGCAGCAGGAGTCAGACTTTGATTTAATGAACAAAACTTTAACACTTTTACTTTAGTCTTTACACATCGAGCCCCAGAATGACCCGAGTCTGTGACCTGAGTCTGTGACCCGAGTCTGTGACCCAAGTCTGTGACTCGAGTCTGTGACCGACATGAACCCTACTGCCCGAACCTGATTCAAACCCTAAATATTTCCTACATTTTTGTATAATGGGGAACTCTGGCACATGAGAGCTGCTCTCTGACAGATGAAGAACAGAATAATACCCCAGACCTTAGACCTTAGACCTTAGACCTTAGACCCAAGACCCCAGACCTTAGACCTTAGACCTTAGACCTTAGAGACCTTAGACCCACCCAGCCCTTAGACCCAAGACCCCAGAGCTTAGACCCAGACCTTAGACCCAGACCTTAGACCCCCAGACCCCAGACCCAGAAGACCCAGACCCCAGACCCCTTAGACCTTAGACCCCAAGACCCAGACCTTAGACCCAAGACCCCAGACCTTAGACCCAAGGCCCCAGACCCCAGACCTTAGACCCCAGACCCCAAGACCCCAGACCCCAGACCAGACCTTAGACCCAAGACCCCAGATCTTAGACCCAAGGCCCCAGACCCTAGACCCCAGACCCCAGACCCTAGACCCCAGACCCTAGACCCCAGACCCCAAGACCCCAGACCTTAGACCCAAGACCCTAGACCCACACCCACAGAGGTCAGACTCACACCCACAGAGGTCAGACCCAAAGTTTTATACAAGTCTGTGGTCAGTCTGTGTTTTATTTCAAAGATGCGCTGCTGAAATATTATAAAACACTTAGATTAAATGAACACGAGTCGTTGTTGTCACTTTTAGTTTTGTATTTAGTTTTGTTAAACCTTGTTTCTCGCTCAGACTCGCTGATAATCGGCTCATGTTTAGGGAAATGTCATTCACCAGTCATTTTACTCCTTTTATGGAGTGAGGGGGCGTGGTCTGTCCTTTTATGGTGAAAATGAGGCCCCCGAACTGGACCAGGACTAGACCAGGACCGGACCAGGACTGAACCAGGTCTAAACCAGGTCTTAGTTCCAGGTCCAGTGCTCTGTGTGCACAAAGTTCCTGTCGAACCCTGGGTCTCTGAAGAACCACATGAGAGTCCACACAGGAGAGAGACCTCACACCTGCCAGCACTGTGGAAAGAGCTTCAGCCAGAGAGGTACTGGACCGGGACTGGACCGGGACTGGACCGGGACTGGACCGGGACTGGACCGGACTGGACCGGGACCGGGACCGGGACTGGACCGGGGACGGGACTAGACGGGGACAGACAGGGACTGGACCGGGGACTGGACCGGGACTAAACCGGGACTGGACCGGACTAGACCGGGACTGGACCGGGACTGGAACCGGGACTAGACCGGGACTGGACCGGGACTAGACCGGGAACTGGACCGGGACTGACCAGGACTGGACCGGGACTAGACCGGGAACTGACGGGACTGGACCGGACACTCGGAACAACCGGACTCGGGCTGGACGGGGACTAACACCGACCTGCACGGGAACTGGCAGGACCGGCGAACTGGACTGGACCGGGACTAGACCGGGACTCAAGACCTGGACAAACCGGGACTGACCGAGCGACTAAACCGGATAGACCGGGACTGGACCGGGACTAGCACGGGAACGGAGCCGGCGGACTGGACCGGGACTGAATCGGGACGGACCCGGGACTGGACCCGAGAACTGCGACTCGGGCAACTCGCAACCCGGACTGGACCGCAGACATAGCACCGCGACCGACATCAGACACGGGATAAACCGCGGAACTACAAACGGACTGGACCGGGACTAGACCCGGGACTACGGACCGGGAACAACTGAGACGCCGAACTAAACACACAGCGAACCGACACAACGACTGGACCAGGACCCATGTGACCAGACTGGACCAAGGACTGGACAAGACTAAACCAGGACTGGACCAGGACTAAAAGGACTGGACCAGGACTAAAACCCAGGAGACTGGACCAGGACAACTAACCAGGACTAACAACCAGGCAATAAACAGGACTGGACCAGAACTGCGGACACAGAGACTAAAACCCAGGACATGGATACCGGACTAAACCAACGACTAAACAAGGGACTAAACCGCGGGACTAACACCCGCGGACACACAGACAGGACAGGACTGACCACGACTCTAAGACCAAAGAGAGAAACATCACCACACGGGACACTCAAAAGACACCACGGACACACCTGAGGACCGGGACTAACCGGGAACTGGACCGGGACTAGACCGGGACTGGACCGGGACTGGACCGAGCGGGACAAAGACCCGAGGAGACTGGACGGGACTACAAAACGGACTAAACTGGAGACACGCAGGACTACAACACAACCAAGGACCAAACCACACGACCTGGACAAGACTGGACCAGGACTAACATCAGAGACTAACAACCCAGACTAGGACCAGGCACACACACCAAGGACTCCGACCAGGACTAGAACCAGGACTAAACAACGACCAACAACCAGGACTAAGGACCCAAGCGACGGACCACCAAAGGACTAAAACCACCCAAAGGACATGCGAGGACCCAGGACTCAGACCCAGACTAGACAAGGACTCAAACCAGTGACTGGACCCAGTGATACCAGGACTGGACGCAGGACTGGAACCAGGAACTGGACCAGGACTAAAACCAGGACTAAACGCAGGACTGGACCAGACTGGACCGGACGGACGCAAGGACTAAACCAGGACTGGACCAGGACTAAAAACCAGGACTAGACCAGGACTGACCGGGAACTAAACAGGACTAAACCACGGACCTAGACCAGCACAACCAGCACTGGACCAGGACTAAAACCAGGATTAAACCAGGACTGGATCAGGACTAAACGGACTACACAGGACTAACCAGGACTGGACAGGACTAAACCAGTAGGACTGGAACCCAGGACTACACCAGGACACCGAAAACCAGGACTGGACAGGACTAAACCAGGACTGGACTAGGACTAAACCAGGACTAAACAGGAAACTAGGAACCAGGACTGGACAGACTTGGACCAGGACTGGACCAAGACTAAACCAGGACTAGGACCAGGAATGGACAGACACTACAAAACCAGGAACTACACACCAGCACAACAAGACCAAGACACAACTAAGCACACACGACACAGACACAAACAAATACTGGACCAACAGCACACACCAACCAGGCACACTAAAAAACCAAGGACTGCGACCAGAGATCCGCACACGGAACGGACCACAGACTGAGACCACGACTGGCACCACGACTAAACCAGGAACTCGGAACCCAGGACACAAACACCACACCTGGGAACCAAAGGAAACCAAACACACGACTAAAACCACCAGAACTAACCAGAAATGAGGACCCAGGACTAACAACCGGGCACTCACAAAAACGCAGGAACCTAAAACCAGACACAACCGGACTAAACCAGGACTAAACGGACTGGATCGGCGACTGGACCGGGACTGGACCGGGAACTAACGGGAGTACTAAACCACAGCAAGAACTATAGGCAACGGACAGCACACATAGGACGCGAGGGAAACCTACGGACCAGGACTAAACCGGGACTGGACGAGACTAAAACCAGGACGGACCAAGACTAACACAACAGCGACTGGACCAGGACTGGACCAGGACACACAAACACCACAGGCACCTAAACACCAGGACCTAAGACAACCAAGGAACCACACACAAGGCAACCTATGAGACAGGACTAAACCAGGACTGCGACCAGGACCTAACCAGGACTAAACCAAGGAACTAACAAAGGAACCTTACCATCTAGGACTGTGACCAGGACTAACAGCGACTATGGACCTAGGAGCAGAGAAACCAGGCTCGTACACGGAACCAGAGCGACTCACAATACCAGGACCATCTATGGCAGTGGGACCTATGGACTAGGACCCAGGACTAAACCGGAGACTGGACACGAGGGAGCGCCGGGGAGCATCAGACACCCGGGACGTCGGTATCACTGGCGATGGGAACCTCGAAAAGCCGGAGGCGCACTAAACCGGGCACTGGGATGCAGTGACTGGACCTGTGCACCGGGCACTGGATACCGTGGATCTAAATCAGGGACAAACGCAGGGACTGAACCAAGGCACTAACCGCGACACTTGTGACCACGACTATACACTCAGGAAGCTTACAGCCAGGCAGCTAATACCCAGGAACTGAGACCAGGACATAGCGTACCGGACTAAACCAGGACGGACAAACTAATAGCACGCAGCGCCAAGCTAACTCAGACCAGGGACATAACCAGAACCGAAGCAGGACCTAGAAGACGCAAGAAGCACTCAGGACTGGGAGCGAGCGCACGTGTAAAAACACAGGAACTGGACCTAGGACAAAAGCACACCAGCGACATAAAACCAGGACATTGAACGACCAGGAACTGAACCAGGAAAGGACACGAGGAGACGTAACACCCCAGGTACGTTACTAACCAAGGACTGGAGCACTCGCGTAGCGTCCAGGTAGTGAGAACCAGGCAGACTGATCAACAGGAACGGAGAGACCCAGGACTGACAACGAGACTGACAAAACACCACGATCTGACATAAAACCAGATCATAAACCAGGACTAGACGCAGAATGACCAGGACTAGAACCACAGCGACTGGACCAGGCTTAAACACCATGAATGTATAACCGACATGGACTGAGGATTCAGGACAGAGAGAGCAGGATTCTGAGTGCATCCCAATGAGATCTAAAACCAGGAACTTGGAAACCAAGGTACTACTCGGTACTCTTAGGCACAGGATCTAAAATATCCAGGACTAAACCAGGAACTGACCAGACTAAAACGCAGGACTGGACAGTCTTTAATACGAGAGAAACTATAAGGTGCAAGAGTAGAAAGGCCCAGATCGGTATCCGAGTGGACTGGACTCAGTGCTTGGACAGACTAAATCAAAAGAACACAACACAGCAGCACTGGATCCCTAAGTATGAGAATTCTGAGAGGAATCCTAAGCGCTGGACTAAACCTAGGACTAACCAGTAATAGAATCCTTAAGGACGTATGCACAGGACTCGCGGATCCAGACTCAAAGATAACCACAGGAACGTATTACCCGGGTACTTAAAATCCAGGAAACTTAACCGAAAGGATGGAACCCATGACTAATGACCAGGGATCTAAGTAACAAGATCATGATCAAAGGATGAAACGCAAGCGACTAACAAAACCGGGACTTGGCAATATCTCCGGGTAACTATTTAAAGCCAGGAATATATTATCCAGGAGGTAAAGCCCGCGACTTGAGATCGGGATCTTAGAGAGATCATGGTGACACGAGGATCCGGAACTAACCGGGATCTGGGGACCGCGCAGAACTGGAGAACGGGACTGGATCGGGACTGGCACACCGGGCACTCTGGACCGGGACTAAACGCGGGAAACTGACCAGGAATACACAGGAACCGGACAGGACTAAAACCCAAGGATCTACAGACACACGAGACTGGAATCCAGGAAACTCATAACCATGGACCGAAAGTACCTGTGAGGGGTATACCAGGGGAGCTACAAACCAGGACTCAAGTACCAAGGAATAGACACAGCGACGGACTCCGGACCAGGACTGGACCAGTATCTGGACAGGACTAACCGGGAGTACTGAGGAAGTACGTAAACCAAGCTAAAACCGGGACGGTAACCGAGGGAACCGTAGACTCGAGGGGAGACTCCGCGCCGAACTCAGATCCCGGACTGAGACACGGGACTCGCACCGGGACTGGTCCGGGCACTCGGACGGGACTAAACCAGGACGGACCCAGGACTGGACAGGACTGACCAGGACTGGCGGACAGGCGACTAAAACCAAGGACTAAACCAAGGACTGCGCGCGACCGAGGCAACTGGACCAGTGACTGGAGGACCAGGACTACAACAGGACTGGACCCAGAACCAGGACTAAACCAGGATTAGATTCAGCCGACTAAAACCGAGGCACTGGACCAGGACTAAACCACGGACTAAACAAGGACTGACCAGAACTACAACCATGGACTGGAATACCCAGACGTGAAGCACAGGACTAGGACAGAGGACTGGAGATCAACGACTGGACGTCAGGACCTGTGGAGCCATAGTGGAGCCTACAGGATCAGGACAATGTGTCACAGAGAGCCAAGTGACGCGACGCAGAACTGGACCCGGGACTAAACCAGGATATAAACCAGGCATATGGACTAAAAGCGTATTTATTATGGGATCTTAACTGATAATTAACCTCAAGAACTCAAGACTAAAACCAGGACTAAAGCGCAGGACTGGCTAGGACTATAACCGAGGTGGAGTAAAAACAGTTGACGTAGGATCAGGACTTAAATCGCCAGAGACTGGAACACGCGTACGTGACACATGGCCTAGTGACTCTACTGGTGACTAAGACCTACGGAGATCTAAGCCGGACTGGACAAAGGACTAGGACCAGAGACTAAATCACGGACTAGATCTAGGACGCAACACCCCAGACTAAAACCAGTGACTCGAGAAACCAGTATCATATTATACACGTGACGTAAACCAGGACTGGACCCAATACTGGACACAGGACTAAACCAGGAAATAAGACCAAAGAGACTGGAAAGGAAATGGACCAGGACTGCGTACAAGGAAAACTATTAAGACGCACCGAACTATAAACCAGGACATGACCGGAGATGAAAGCCACGACTTGGACGGGATCTGGAACGCAAGTTGACGTAGATAACCCAGCGAACTGGACCAGGACTGGACCAGGACTAACCAGGACTGGACCAGGACTGGACAGACTAAAACCAGGACCAGAATCCGGTACCAACGCCTAGGACTTTGATACCACGATCAAACCAGAACTAGATCTATGTATAAATCCAGGAACTAAACCAGGACATGGACGCCTCTAAAAGGACTAGAACTGCGACTGTGGATCCTAGCAACTAACCCAGTGACTTAACCAGTGACTGGACCCAGGACTGGACCAGGACTAAACCAGGACTGGATCCAGGACTGGACCAGGACTAAATCAAAGGACTGGACCCAGGACTGGACAAGGACTGGAACGGACCTAAACCAGGACTAGGACCAGGACTGGACCAGGACTAAAACAGGACTGGACCAAGGGAAAAGACCAGAGAACTTTGCAGTATCAGGGCACTAAACCAGGATGACAAGGACGGGGGACCAGATCCTAAACCAGCGAGACTGGACCAACTGACTAAACCAAAGACGGAAAAACCGATGAAGGACTTAGAGCACAGGACGCACAACCAGCGACATTGGAGAACATGGACCAGGACTAACCGACCATGAGGGGGACTAAACCAAGGGGCCTAAACCAGGACTAGACCAAGGTACTGACCAAGGACTAAAACCAAGACCAAACCAGGACTAGACCAGGATGAACAGGACTAAACCAGGACTGGACTGGCCTCAGGCTAGAATCACCATGCGACTAAACCATAGACCTTAACTTCAGACATTAGAGCGAGCGAACATAGACTTCAAGAACACCGTCTAGAAAACATGTCTCAGGGGAGAAAAAACAAAGACGTTTATACAGAAACCCCCAGGAACTATATATATAAATGTCTTTACGGAGGAAATCCACCAGGAAAGAACAACACCCACTAGAAAACCCCAGGACTGGAACTGCCACCAGGACTTGAGACATTGACTACACCAAGAACCTAAAATTCCACGGACTAGACCAAAGCACACCAGGTACAACATTCCACACGGTCTGGGTCTAACAGGAAACCTTGTGGCTAACAAACGTCGCGCCTCACAGACGGGCGAGTCCCGATACTACGTCTGCCACAGCGATCCTTGGGGTCGGAGAGCGCACGTTATGCCATGCAAGATGGAGAGCTGAGCACGCCACAGTCGAGGTGCAACAGAGAGTCCAAAGCTGCGTTTCCGCCTGCTGTTCTAGTTAACGTTCCAGCGGAAAGTCTAAAGAGCACCGTCCACGACTCTGAGGGCCCACGATGCCTCTGGCGATCTCAGGCGCCAGAGGCGCACTACTGCTCCCTCTTTTGCCCCTCAATTAAATTTCTTCGTAGTACACTACCAGTCGAAGAGCGGATCCAGGTCAGCGAATCCAGCGACTAATACGCGACGTACGCGTACAGAACATAAAACCAAGAGCTAAGAACGTCTGACTGAAACCAGAGACTATATACCAGTGACGACCGGACCAGGACTAAACCACTGATGCCTGACTAGAAGCCAGGACTTAAACCAGGACCGAGGAGCGAGAATTAGTACATGAGTCAGGCCCTAAGGACACACAGTGCTGACAAAAGTTTGGACCAATTTGAGTATCTGATACTCCATACAGGAAAAACAATGTAGATCATGTTGCCAATATGTTGGTGGCTCATTATTGAACTGTCATGTGATCTATTCTAAAAACATTCACTCAAAATTACATTATTGTTAAATTATTGTGAAACTACTTTTGTGAGTGGTTGAGTTTTGGTGAATTTTTTGAAGCTATAAATGTAGATACATCTTACTTGGATGAAATCTAATAGAAAAAACATTATGTATATATTTTATTTTTCACAATAACACATGGAGTGTAAGAGCTGTTTTCGTAGTTCATGGATCTGTACGAAGACAAAATAGTACACCTGTTGAACACCACACGAAATGATAGACGTAACAGAGGTTTTATCTAATACTAATCTCAGTATTCTTTCCAAACACGCACTCACAACATGTAATATGTCTATGATAGACTGCCAAACGATACAGAAGACGAAAGACCTGAGTATCTGGGACAGCAGTTTCATAGAGTTACTGCGAAATCAGCCTCTGACGCAGCAGCCTGCGGGTCTGGCGGATTCTATAATGTGGAAGCTCCGAACACGGGAGGCAGACACGGGAAGAGGCTGTGGACTCTTATGGAGTGATCTAGGACCACAGCGAGACAGCATGAGAAAACCTAGAGGGTTCGAAATCCCAGGGGTACCAGGACGACGATCAGTGTAGAATGTGGTTTTTATTGTATTATCAGGTACATACTTACAGACTAAAAAATACACGAAACAAAGATTTCCAAAGAAGAGAGATTCTGAGACACAAAATACAAATGAACACCATGTTCCCCAGGATTATTTCAGTAGTAAAAATGATTGTCACATCATGACAGTAAGACTTCTGTCAACATGTACAGAAGAGGAGAAGTTGTTTCATTCTGTTTCTGTCTGCCTCATATGGAGATGTTCAATAGTGGATGGCATTTTGATTTTTTTCTCTCAGAGGAATTATCGCAAAATGGGATCGTATGCCATCGATTCCAAGAGAAATAGATTTCCATAAAATAGGCCCAGTCTTTAACGCTCTCTTACAAAGTGGTATCAGTTACAAATTTGACCCATTTTGACCTTCAACAATAGAAAAAATATCCTAAACATCAGTGTGTCATCAAGAAATTTGACAAAATACACAAAAATGAAAATATTTGAGACCGGGTCTAAACCGGGTCTAAACTGGGACTAAACCGGGTCTAAACCGGGTCTAAACCAGGACTGGACCAGGACTGGACCAGGACTAGGACTCGGACTTTTACTCCTGGTGGTTTGTCGCTTTTATTTTGTGGGTAAAAGTCTGTAAACCCCGGGTTTTGTCTCGCAGGCTACGTTTCGGGCACAAAGTTGCGTCGTCACCTGCGCAGCGCTCACTCCACAGAGAAGCCCTTCACCTGTCACTGCGGCGCCGCCTACTCCCTGCGCCAGAGCCTCACCCGCCACCAGGCTCTGCACCGACTGGACGAGACGGGGGCAGGGGCAGGGGCGGGGCCTCAGCACGACCGGCCAATCAGGGGACAGGACCGCAAAAGCTACAAGGACTCGAGAAACCCAGAGGAGCACAGGGGGGAGCAGGGGGAGGGGTTGGGGGAGCAGGGGGAGGGGCTAGGGGAAGAGGGACACACAGAGCTGCTCCTCATTCAGGAAGTGGCCGAGACTGTAGAGATAAACACGGCGTAAAAAGTAAAAGTTCGTTAAAGGGGCATTAAATGTAACACCTCACATATTTAGATCACCGTGTTCCTTTCATTGTTTTCAAAAACTAAATATTCGCAAACAACAACTAGGCCTGTAACGATAATCAATACATCAGTGAATCGTACGATAACTTTTAATGAGCTCGATAACTTTTCTGGTCGTAATAAATTCTATTTGCAGTTTGTTTGTTTTCCTCGCTCTGTGTCGCTCTCAAACAGACTGAATGTTGGAAGCTTCTGTCGCTCTGACTCGTCTCGTTTAACGTAACGACGCTTGAACCAACGTGTGTTTATTGACACAGTGGATGCTCGCGACGCCTGAGTGCAGAAAACGCCGCTGTCTGTGCAGTTTAACATGAAGCCGTGACACAAACGCCGCCGTCAGAACCAAAACAGTTCATCACCGAGAGACAAAACACGTCACGATGCCGAATCAACACCGGTGAGTGTTACGCGTCTCAACAGACACGTGCCAAATGCAGCGAAACGCAGACGACGAGAAGAAACGTCTCAAACCCCAACAGACGATAAACCCAAACCCGAGCGACAGAACAAGCCCCGCCCCCGAGAAGAGCCCGAAATCCACTGAAATCCCACAAGACACAGACACGACACCAGACAGAACAGAGACTCCCTCAGAGTGAAACAGGATCCTGAGTCTCGGTTCATACGAACATTTAAACGACCAAAATGATTCCAGCAGAAACAGAGACGAGACGCAATATTCCAACGTAAATCAACGACTAAAATCACTTTTAAGGGCAGTTTTGTTACAGAGACTTAATAATCCATTTTATTTATTACTTTGGTTGTATTGTCGCTGTGAGTCAGACACATTAGACTCTTCTTATGTGAACAAGTCTGTTTTATTTAGGCCTGTTGGTTTTGTTTGTCTTACACTTCCTGTGTTCAATGTTTTTTAGAAAGTCAAGTTTATTGATCTTTGAAATGGTGTGTTTGCATTTTTATTTCATGGTCTTTATATCAGTTGAAATTGGTCTCAAAATGTCAATATTTTCATTTATCACAATAAATTCTTGGTCAGTTAATTGTCCAGTAAAATCTGTTCTCGTTACAGGTCTAACAACAGTGGATTAACATGTTTAATAAGTTTGTTTTTTGCTCTGAGTCTCTCGTCCCTTTGCTCCCACACTAAGTCACTCCCCCTTCAGAGCACTATAACAACAAAACAACAATTTTCTTCATTATTTGTCTCCAAAAATGAAAAAAACAGACAACAGACTAGACCAGGACTAGACCAGGACTGAATGAACAGGTCAAAAGTTTGGACTTTTTTTTTTTTTTTTTTTTTTTTTCTCCACAATACGGCATTAAATGCCTCTGTCTCCATGGAGAATGTTCTGAAGTGAAGTGTCTTGCCTAAGGACTCAACAACAGTTTTTGCCTCTGGCACCTCCTGTGGCTCCTGGAATTCCCAGTGTTTCCATCCAAGTCCTGCCCCGGCCCGACTCCGTTTGCTGGAATTTTGAATGAAAGTGTAATTTTTGGAAAATAAAAAAACTTGTATTTTTTTCAAACACATGTTTTGTTTTGTTGGAGACAAAATGACACACACAATATGAGTCAAAGTTCAACAGTGTAATTCCAAACCCTCACAACATGTAAATCAGCTCAAACGATACTGAGAAAACCAGATCTGGAACATTCTGTTACTGTCAGCCTCTGCTGCAGCCTGCGGGGCTGACAGGGGCGACAGGGGCGACAGGAGCTGACAGGAGAATGTGGTTTGTTCAGTCATAATGACAAAAACAAAAAGACAAAGTTGAACAGAGCCTCCGGATTATTTCAGTGTAAAAAATGAAAATATTTGATGATTTTATATTTTTGTTCAGGTGCTACACATTTGTACAAACTGAGGCTGGTTCAGGTCAGTTTTCACTTGTCTTGGATCTTGGCAAGACCAGAACTAGACCAGGACTAGACCAGGACTAGACCAGGACTAGACCAGGACTAGACCAGGACTAAGTCTGGAGACACGGGGAAAAAGCGACACTCATGGAGAGAAGCAGAAGTGAACAGAGTTTGAGGAAGTGTTTGATCAGAAAAACCACGTATACAGAAGAATGACCTTCAGATTTGTGCATTTAAATGTTTGGTTCACAAAACAGGGAGAAGTGCTGTTTATTCCTCTCATTAATCTCCACAATATTACGTTTGAAACTCGTGCAGGAGCGCGGCCACGTTCCCGGACCCGGTGCAGCGCAGAGTCCCACAGTCCACACCAAGACCACAGACACAGACTGACCAACACAGACTGACCAACACAGACTGACCAACACAGACTGACCAACACAGACTGACCAAACACAGACTGACCAACACAGACTGACCAACACAGAGGACGAAATAATGACCCGACCTGAGAGAAAAACTCTTCCCTTGGACGCAGCAGGAGCCAGACTTTGATTTAATGAACACAACTTTAACACTTTTACTTTAGTCTTTACGCACCGAGCGCCAGAGTGACCCGAGTCTGTGACCCGAGTCTGTGACCCGAGTCTGTGACCCGAGTCTGTGACCCGAGTCTGTGACCCGAGTCTGTGACCCGAGTCTGCGCACGACACGAAGCCCACTGCCCGAACCTGACCCCAACCAAAATCTTCCCTACATTTTTGTGTCATGGGGAACTGAGCACATGACCCAGACCCACACTCACAGACCCACACTCACAGACCCACACTCACAGACCCACACTCACAGACACAGACCCACACTCACAGACCCACACTCACAGACCCACACTCACAGACCCACACTCACACTCACAGACTCACAGACCCACACTCACAGACCCACACTCACAGACCCACACTCACAGACCCACACTCACCACACCCACACTCACAGACCCACTCACAGACCCACACTCACAGACCCGCACTCACAGACTCACACTCACAGACCACACTCACAGACCACACTCACAGACCCACACTCACAGACCCACACCACACTCACAGACCACACTCACAGACCCACACTCACAGACCCACACTCACAGACACCACACTCACAGACCACACTCACAGACCCACACTCACAGACCCCACACTCACAGACCCGCACTCACAGACCCGCACTCACAGACTCACAGCACTCACAGACCCACACTCACAGACCCACACTCACAGACTCACACTCACAGACCTAGACACACACTCACAGACCCACACTCACAGACTCACACACTCACACTCACCCACACTCACAGACCCACACTTCACAGACCACACTCACACACTCACAGCCCACACTCACAGACCCACACTCACAGACCCACACTCACCCACACTCACACCCGCACTCACAGACCCGCACTCACAGACCCGCACTCACAGAGACCCGCACTCACAGACCCGCACTCACAGACCCCACTCACAGACCCAGACCCACACTCACAGACACTCCAGACCCACACTCACAGACTCACAGACCCACACTCACAGACCCACACTCACAGACCCACACTCACACAGACCCACACTCACAGACCCACACTCACAGACCCACACTCACAGACCCACACTCACAGACCCACACTCACAGACCACACTCACAGACAGACCCACACTCACAGACCCACACTCACACACAGACCCACACTCACAGACCCACACTCACAGACCCAGACCCACACTCACAGACCCACACTCACAGACTCACAGACCACACTCACAGACCCACACTCCACAGACCCACACTCACAGACCCACACTCACAGACCCACACTCACAGACCCAGACCCACACTCACAGACCCGCACTCACAGACACCACACACTCACAGACACCCACACTCACAGACCCACACTCACAGACCCACACTCACAGACACACACTCACAGACCCACACTCACAGACCCACACTCACAGACCCACACTCACAGACCCACACTCACAGACCCACACTCACAGACCCACACTCACAGACTCACAGACACTCACAGACTCACAGACCCACACTCACAGACCCACACTCACAGACCCACCCACACTCACAGACTCACAGACCCACACTCACAGACCCAGACCCACACTCACAGACCCAGACCCACACTCACAGACCCACACTCACAGACCCACACTCCAGACCCACACTCCAGACCCACACTCACAGACCCACACTCACAGACCCACACTCACAGACCCACACTCACAGCACCAGACCCACACACACAGACCCACACTCACAGACCCACACTCACAGACCCACACTCACAGACCCACACTCACAGACCCACACTCACACTCACAGACCCACACTCACAGACCCACACTCACAGACCCACACTCACAGACCCGCACTCACAGCACTCACAGACCCACACTCACAGACCGCACTCACAGACCCACACTCACAGACTCACAGACCCACACTCACAGACCCACACTCACAGACCCACACTCACAGACCCACACTCACAGACCCACACTCACAGACCCACACTCACAGACCCACACTCACACACTCACAGACCCACACTCACAGACTCACAGACCACACTCACAGACCCACACTCACAGACAGACCCACACTCACAGACCCACAGACCCACACTCACAGACCCACACTCACAGACCCACACTCACAGACCCAGACCCACACTCACAGACCCACACTCACAGACTCACACTCACAGACCAGACCACACTCACAGACCCACACTCACAGACCCACACTCACAGACACCCAGACCCACACTCACAGACCCACACTCACACAGACCCACACTCACAGACCCACACTTCACAGACAGACCACACTCACAGACCCACACTCACAGACCCACACTCACAGACCCACACTCACAGACAGACCCACACTCACAGACCCACACTCACAGACCCACACTCACAGGTTCAGCAGTTTGGATGTTTCATGTGGACTTTAATTGGCAGAATAACATCTGTATCTGATGTGTTTCATGCTAAATCTGTGTCCTCGTGTCGTCTCCTCGCTCCTTTCCCTCTCCAGGGGAGGGCATCTGAATCTCTCGCACGCGCTCATAATTTGACCATTCAGATCAGCGCGTGCACGTATCTATGTGCATATGCATAAATATACAGGACCAGTCCTCACACATTTGTATTGTATTTGTATTTATTTATTAAACAAGGTTTAATAAAGTCTTTAATAAAGTGTTTGTCGTGATCACGTGGTGCTGCGTGGAGCCTCCTCCTCCCTCTGTCCCGCGTGTCTCGGTCAAACCCACTGATTATCGACTCATGTTTAGGGAAATCTCATTCACCAGTCACTTTACCTGCTCCTTTTATGGTGAGGTGGAGGTGTGAGGGGGCGTGGTCTGTCCTTATTGTGAGTGTGAGGGGCGTGGTCTGTCCTTTTATGGTGAGGTGGAGGTGTGAGGGGGCGTGGTCTGTCCTTTTATGGTGAGGTGTGAGGGGGCGTGGTCTGTCCTTTTATGGTGAGGTGGAGGTGTGGAGAGGGCGTGACGTGACGTAGGTTTACGTGCGCAAATTGTAGTTGCAGGTGGGATTTATAAAGCAAAGGTTGCAGGTTTGGTGCGTGCGGTGGGTTTTCTAAATATGGAGTTTGCGTGGCGCACGCCTCTCGTAGCTACAGACGTACGCACGAACTTACGACAACTCCTGCACAGTTTTTATAAATGAGGCCCCAGGACTAGACCAGGACTAGACCAGGACTAGACCAGGACAAGACCAGGACTAGACCAGGACTAGACCAGGACTAGACCAGGACTAGACCTGGAGTAGACCAGGACTAGACCAGGACTAGACCAGGACTAGACCAGTGACAGGGTCTTGGGTCTGGGGTTCAGACAGTCGGCTTCGTGTCGGTCACAGACTCGGTCACAGACTCGGGTCACAGACTCGGGTCACAGACTCGGGTCACAGACTCGGGTCACAGACTCAGGTCACAGACTCGGGTCATTCTGGGGCTCGATGTGTAAAGACTAAAGTAAAAGTGTTAAAGTTTTGTTCATTAAATCAAAGTCTGACTCCTGCTGCGTCCAACAGAAGAGTTTTTCTCTCAGGTCCAGTCATTATTTTGTCTTCTGTGTTTTATCCAAGTCTGTGGTCAGTCTGTGTTTTATCCAAGTCTGTGGTCAGTCTGTGTTTTATCCAAGTCTGTGGTCAGTCTGTGTTTTATCCAAGTCTGTGGTCAGTCTGTGTTTTATCCAAGTCTGTGGTCAGTCTGTGTTTTATCCAAGTCTGTGGTCAGTCTGTGTTTTATCCAAGTCTGTGGTCTTGGTGTGGACTGTGGGACCCTGCGCTGCTCGGGGAACGTGGCCGCGCTCGTGCACGAGTT